TAGATAAGATATACTATTTTGTTTTATTGATGGAGTTAGGCCTACTATCCAAAAGGGAAGTGACAATGAACTATGTTAATGTGCCTTTTTAAACAATATTAGGAAATACATATCTAAAAGCATTTCATTCTAGCAGCAATCATCTTTGAGAGCCCAATTATGCTGACATTGCTTTAAAAAAATTAAAAGACTTAAGACATTTTTAGAATTGCTTACAAATTTAAGAAAATTAAGTTATCAAAGATAACTATTTCATTTTTATTTTGTGTTTTACTTGAAATAATAGGAGTAAATATAAATTGAAGAAAAAAAAACCTGATTTTCCCTCCTGCAGAAAGGGAAACAGATACTCCCCTTGCTTTCCTTGGAATATTTTCTTTAGAAAACTTACAAATTCTTTCCCTGCTCCTTTGAGGATGCATGTGAATCTTTTTAAAAGCTAAATAGGCTTCTTGCCAGTTTTAAACCAGGAATTTTTTCTCAAGGACCTGGGAGCCATCTCTGAGAAGTAAATATCAAGGAAAATAACATCTCTATCTCCAGAATCTGTGAGAAGGTAGGAGTCTAATTTCAGTGGACACCTCACTTCAAGTTGCAAAACTAACTCCTGCCATAAAAATATGAGTTTATTTTTCCTTTGGATTTATGCCAACTAGCTATCACTGATGGTTGCCCTAATTATGAGGTAAATTTGGGATGAACTATATGTGACATATGGTGATGTCAAGTCCTCTTATTTTAAGAGCTAATGATCATTTCTTTAGAGCCTACACATAGTGGTTTGTATGTGCTTGACTGTGTAACAGGGTAAGAGATTTCTTTCAGTTCTTAAGACCTCTTGTGGGTTGCCTGCAATGCACTTCACATTCTGGTTTAATGCTTAATTGATAATAAATTGTTTTCTTTCTCTTTGACTTTTGTGGAGAGGTTTTCTGAGTTGGTAGGAGATTTTTATATTCCTTCAACACAATATTATTTGTCTTATCCACATTGTTCACTCAGATACTCAGAGAATTTAACAAGGTTTTAAGTAATGATATCCCTGGAAAAAAAGAATATAGTCTCCTAAGCCAAATACTTTCAATGGAATAGAGTTATTTTAGTAGTAAATCATACATAGAATGGCTGATCTAAGTTGGGAGGGATATTGACATGCACTTACTTCCCCGTTTTTCTCTACATTTGTTTTGAGAGGACAGGGAAAACACAAAAGAGATTAAATCCATAACAATGCTGAGGGGTAGGTAAAAGAATGATTATATTAGCAGACTGAAGGTTTTGTTAAATTTTAGAAGACAAAAAGTGGATATCAATGAACAAAGTATGGAGAAAGCCTCATCTTAAAAAAAAATATGCAGACAAAGAAAAAAATATACAGACAAAAGCTACAGTAGAAATACAGCAATTCTTCCCTATATATACACACTTAGAATCAGCAAGTACAAAGAGGGATGGTTACGATAGATACAGACATCAAGGACATAACCAATGGGTTCCCTCAGAGGTCAGCCATACCCACTATGCCTTCCAAACACTGGCAGAATTTACCCAACCTTTAAAAGGCCACAGCTCCTAATGTGAATGTTAGTGTACCAGAGTAAAAGTTGAATTTAGGCATTTAAGGTTGAGGGTATAGCACAGTTTAGATCTTGAATGTCCACCAAACACCATGTGCTTCAGCACCTTTACAAGGTAGTAAAACCTTTAAATGGTGGGACCTAGTGGAAGGAAGTTGGGTCACTGCCATTGAAGGGGATATTATGACCCCAGCCCTCCTCTCTCTTTGCTTCTCAGAAGCCATGAGGTAATMAAGCTTTGCTCCACCACATGCTCCCCACCATCATGTACTTCCTTGCCACAGGCTCAAAAGCAATGAAGTCGACCAATCATGGTCAGAAGCCTCTGAAACTGGGAGCCAGAATAAATCTTTCCTTCTTACAAGTTGATTATCTCAGGTATTTAGTCACAGCAATGGAAGCTGACTAATACAGCATAGGAATCCAAATCTGCTTTCTCTCTGTACAAAGAAAGATTTGTCAGTCAATATGCCTTCTTTCTACCTTTCTACCTTTCCATACATACAGGGGAGAGTTTTCTTGGATAAACAAACGGATATGCTTAGAGATAATCCACTCCAACTCTGTAACAATCTATTCCTTCACTCATAATATAGAAGGACAACCATATGATTATACAGTTCATATTCTTCCAGCACACATTCTCCTTCCCCCAACCCCTACCAATCAGCACCAACTTATTTCAAGGTTGACATAACTTCAAAAACAAATGAGAAAAATTTTGCTCTTCTTCTATTGCATAATTTGGGGCCATCAGTTCCTTGAAAATTGAATAAAAGTTATCTCTGAAAACATCTGGGCATAAGGCCTTATGTTTGGCAGAATTTTGACTGATAAGATTATTTAAAGGATTATAGATTCTTTAAGTAACAGATAGTATGCTCTACTCAATGCATTTCAATACATTCTAGCCCAGATTCCAACTATTAGCACTTCAATCACGTTACCCAAAGGCTCTGCTACCTGCATACTCATGATAAGCCAAAGTGTTGGGAAATTAATGTATTCCCATAATACCATTTTTTCTAGAGGTAGAATTGCTGGGTCAAATATGTTTTTAATTTTAATAAACATTTCTTTGCCCAAGATCAGGCAAGAAAAAAAAAGATAAACAAGAATTAATATTAGAAGTGGAAAAGCAGATATATATACCCAGGCTTAGGGAAAGTTAGTTGTAATTTACAGAATCATACTTGGTATGGGTCTGCTAACAATCTAATTAAAATAACTATACTCCAGCAGAGGCTACCATAAGCACTTCAACTATTATTATCACAGTTTAACATCAAATGTTTGGCTAATTAGCATAGATACATTAGAAAAGGGATTTCAAGCCAGGCATAATGTCACATGCCTATAATCCCCACAAGTTGATAGACTGAGGCAGGAGGTTCATGAATTCAAAGCCAGCCTCAGCAATTTAGGGAACCTCAGCAACTCAACTTAGCAGTAAGAACCTGCCTCTAAATAAACTATAAAAGAGGGCTGGGAATGTGGGTCAGTTGTTAAGCACCTGTGAGTTTAATCCCCAGTACCAAAAAAAAGGAATTTCACTGGTGAAATGACTGGCTTGTTAATCAGGATGTTAGAAATGCATTAACATTGATGAAATAAGTTTTGTCACTATTCAGTTGTTGGCGAAAATATTTTAGATTTTCTTCACCATTACAGGTACAGAGTGTAAGAATCTAGTAAGGCTTTCAACCCAGGTGCACACTTAATCCCTAGATTAGATTTTCTCAAACTTTAATGTGCATATAAATTACCTAGGGATGCTTGGAATTTCAGGTAGAGTTGTGGGCTTCTCCCTATTTAATTATTCAAGCATTTATTTATAACACTATGTGCTCATGAATATTTATTTGATTCTTAAAATTACAATCCAAAATTATTGTTATTTTGTTGTCCAAGCAATTCTAGATTTGACCATTTTAAACTTGGCTCCTTTTTTTTTTTTTAAATAAGCTCTTCCTGACTTCTGAAATAACTACAAGATATTTCAAACTCATTCTGCATTTTCACTGTTCCAGCCCTATAACAGGCTATTTCTTCAAAGAATTCTTGTTCCTTTTATTGGAGAGTGGTATTTAGAAACTAAAATCTGGGCCCTAGACATGCTTGTTATTACTAGGGTACTATGTTTTAAATCCTCTCAGCAAACAGAGCTATGGAATAGATCTATAAAGTCAGCCCTTCATACACATGGGAAGAAGGAAGAAAGGAAAGGAGGGAAGGAGAGGGGCAGGAGGGAGGGAGGGAGGGAGAAGGATAGGAGGGAGGGAGGGAGAGGGGAGGGAGGGAGGGAGATTTCATCTACACTGAATATGTATAAATATTTTTGCTTGTATCATTCCCTAAACAATATACTATTGTTATAAGGAAAGGGCCTTCTGGGGAACTGAGGCAGATTGAAGACCACATCCCACTTTCAAATGCTGATTCTTGCATTTATTGACTGGGTTATTTGTTTTTTTGATGTTAAGTTTTTTGAGTTCTTTATATATTCTGGAGATTAGGGCTCTGAGGTGCTTGTGGGAAAAATTTTCTCCCAATCTCTAGACTCTGTCTTCACATTATTGATTGTTTAGTTTGCTGAGAAGAAGCTCTTTAGTTTGACTCCATCCCATTTATTGATTCTTGGGTTTACTTCTTGTGTTTTAGGAGTCTTGTTAAGGAAGTCAGGTCCTAAGCCAACATGATGACGATCTGGACCTAATTTTTCTCCTATTAGCTGCAGAGTTTCTATTCTAGTGCCTAAGTCTTTGATCCACTTTGAGTTGATTTTTGTGTGGGGTGAGAGATAGAGGCTTAATTTCATTTTGCTACATATGGATTTCCAGTTTTCCCAGCACCATTTGTGGAAAAGGCTATCTTTTCTCCAATGAATGTTTTTAGCGTCTTTGTCTAGTATGAGATAACTGTATTTATGTGGGTTTTTCTCTATGTCTTCTATTCTGTACCACTGGTCTTCATGTCTGTTTTGGTGGCAATACCATGCGGTTTTACTTAGTATAGCTCTGTTGTACAATTTAAGGTCTGGTATTGTGATTCCTTTGTGCTTCATTCTTCTTGCAGAGGATTGCTTTAGCTATTTTGGGCCTCTTATTTTTCCAAATGAATTTCATGACTGCTTTTTCTATTTCTATGAAGAAAGTCATTAGGATTGTTGTAACAGAAGTGGCATTAAATCTGTATAACAGTTTTGGGTATATGGCCATTTTGACAATATTAATTCTGCCTATCTGAGAGCATGGGAGATTTTTTCATCTTCCAAGGTCTTCAATTTCTTTCTTTAGTTTTCATTATAGAGGTCTTTCACCTCTTTTATTAGGTTGATTCCCAAGTATTTTAATTTTTGAGACTACTTTTTGAGAGTAGTTTTCCTAATTTCTCTTACAGTATATTCATCACTTATGTATAGGAAAAAATATGGAACACTTTACAAATTTGCATGTCATCCTTGCACAGGGGCCATGCTAATCTCTGTATGGTTACAATTTTAGTAAATGTGCTGACAAAGCAAGCACTTAACTGGATTCTTACCCACAAATTCTTACAGATTTTATGATTAGGAGGAATCATCCTTACCTCCCTGAGTTTCAGGATCTGGTCTGTGACAAGAACCACAAAAATCTCCCCCTTCAGGGTAACGTGGGTTTCTCTTATGGACATTATTTTGGGCCTGCATTTCTCCTAAAGATAACAAGTAGTTTGCTGAGGAATGTGACATATCCATCCTGTCTACCTAAGCCAGGTAGGGCTACAGGTAAACTGCTTCTTGGAAAAGAAAGCATGTGGGAATGAACATAATGTGTCCATTTTATAAAATGTGTGTGTTCCCACCACTCACATCTGTTTGTCTCCTATCACTGTAACTATTAACAGAACAGTTTGCTCAGAAGCAGTCTTTAACAGAATTACTTTCCCCTTCTCTTCTAATCTTTATCCTAATCTTTTAACAACTCATCCTTTTCACATGGTATTCTAAAGAGAGTCCTCCCCCTTAACAACCCTTCCTTTTATTAGCTCTTGTGAACAGACTTGCAGAAAAATAATACCTTCAGAAAAGAAATTGCAAGCCAGGTGTGGTGAAACATGCTTGTAATCCCAGTGACTCTGGAAACTGAGGCAAGAGAATCACAAGTTCGAGGCAAGCCTGGGCAATTTAGGAAGACCATGTCTTAAAATGCAATAAAAAAAATATAGGGATGTATGAGCACTCCTGGGTTTAATTCCCAATAGGGCTGGGGACAGAGAGGCTCTACTTGATGTTCTGGGAAAGGACGAGACAGACAAGTGGAAACACAAATAATGGAGAAGAAGACTCACCTTGCATGTGGATGTCTTGCCTCTTATCCCACTATACCTCCTTTTTCTCCTATAAAAACCCTTTGCACCCCTGATGCCCCTAGGGGAGATTTGAGATGAAAAAGTCTAGTCTGTATTCTTCACAGCTGGTTTTGAATAAAACTGTTTCATTCAACCAAGTTTTTTTCCCCTCAAGTTTTAAGCTGAGTACTGAGCAGCACAAATATTGGATCCCTGAAACATAATAACTATTTACACAGCATTTATATTATATTAGGTATTAAATGTATTAGAGATGATTTAAAGAATACTAAATGATGTGCACAGGTTATAGGCAAATACTATGCCATTTTATATAAGGGAGTTGAACATCCACAGACTTTAGTATCTGAGGGGAAATCCTGGATCCAATCATCCTCTGGGGATACTAAAGAACTATTCTGATATCTTAATTGATTAAGCAACAAGTTTCCTGTGTAAAGGTTTGACAAACCAGCAGTTATGAATCCACCACTGAAGTACCATGTAGAACCATCCTATCACCCTAGAAATTCCCCTGGGCAGCCATTTTACCTCTCCTAACATTTTCCAAATTTTCTAAATGGAGCAGGTTTACTATAGCAGTGAGAAAAAAATTAAAAATGTTAATTTTTGAAAGCAAATATACACACTGAAAGATATTAAAACAGACTGAATTTGGAAGTCTCCCTTTGAAATTAAGAGCAAATTTCTCATCCTGAGAGGGAGCTAAAGGGTTCTCCTCCAACAACAACCACCACCACTATGTCCTAAGGAAGCTGAGAATGGAGACTGTCCCCTTCCCAGGCCTGTGCAGCACACTAAATCTATACATGTACACTTCCTGCCTTTTGTCTTACATCCTGCCTCTGCTGCCTGGGTGCTGCCTCTTCTCTTTTAAAAGCCTTGTTCACATTCAGAGATCTCAAAGATGGAACTTTTAAAACAATAGGGTTTTTTCTGTCTTTTTAAAAAGCTAGCTTTGAATAAAATTTTCCTACCAATTTGACTCCAAATATCTTTGGAGCAGTGAGCAAACTTTTAGCCTAATCTCTTCCCCAGAGGTAGTATTAGAGCTGCCCACTAATCACGTATAAAAAGATAGCTATAAAACATTAGCCAAATTGTATATAGATAGTAGGATCCCCAACGATTTTCATTTTTCTCTTTATACTTTTTCTGTATAGCTTTTCAGTTTTATGATGGGTATATTTCACTGTAAAATCAGATTAATTTCTTTCAAGAAGGCAGTAATGAGGATGATACATTTTAGAAAGGTTTTTGTGAAAAGTATTTGATTTTAAGTGGCAGACTGGCAAGAAACATTCCACACATGCAAAAAAGATCTACAATTTGTTTTTAACATCTAACAAGCTATTCAAAGTTTAGAAAAAGACAACCCACTAGAAAAATGGGCAAAGTTTATGAAGAGAAAGGTTCATAGAAAAAGAAATGCACATGGTTTATAGACATAAACAGATGTTCAATGTCTCTCACAATTAAGGAAATGCATATTTAAACAATGATTAAATACCATTTCTACCTAACAAATTTTGATAAAGCAGAGTTCCTGAGGTGTGGCAAAACAAGTACTCATATACATTATTGATGAAAATGTAAATTGTAAGGCCTCTTTGGAGGGTGACTTAACAACAGTTAAAATTTTAAATGCTCATTAGCTTTTGTGTCACAATTCTACTTCACAGAGATTATCTTAGAGTATGTGTTCATATGTGTTAAAAAAATACACACACACACACATACACACACATACACACAAGAAAGTTCAATGTCACATTAGTGGTAAAAGATAAGACGTAACCAAAAAGTCTTATCAGTAAAGGATTATTAAACAAATTACAATATAAATCATTCAATTGAATACTAGGAAGCCATTAAAAGCATGATGTAGGTTTATAAATAGGGCTAATAAAAAGAGCTGTAGGGGCTGGGGTTCTGGCTCAGTGGTAGAGTGCTTGCCTAGCATGCACGAGCCACTGGGTTCGATCCTCAGCACCACATAAATGTAAAATAAAGATATTGTATCCACCTAAAACTAAAAAATAAATATTTTTTTAAAAAGAGCTGCATACAAGATTCAAAACAATAATCATAGCATGTAACTATTTAACTTTTTTTAGCAATATATACACATATGTTCCTAAAGACACACAGAAAATTTCTGTAAATACATAGAAGAAACTGCCAACAGTGGCTATCTCCCTGTAACAATGTTGCAGTTTGGTTGAAAGAATCACTCACTGTTCAATGTAGAATTCGAAAACTTTTTCATGAGAATGTTACATGCAATAAATAATATTTTAAAAAATATTGTAATTCATCAACATATTTATTGACCTGAACTGTCTGGAAAATCATTTACACTGAATTAAACATTCCCCCATAGTATCAAATCTGAGAAATTCCCACAAATGTTTTAAATAAATATTCTAAAATTAACACCTAGTTCTATAATTTATTGTCATGAATCTGTAATAAGCTTACATTAAAAATGAAGTACGTTCATAAGCCAAAATGATTTTTTTCTCTGAAAAAAAAAAGTCTATGTGAATAAAGACATGAATACTAATTCATCTCTAAAATGTTTTATTGGGGCTGGGGATGTGGCTCAAGCGGTAGCGCGCTCGCCTGGCATGCGTGCRGCCCGGGTTCGATCCTCAGCACCACATACCAACAAAGATGTTGTGTCCGCCGAGAACTAAAAAATAAATATTAAAAATTCTCTCTCTCTCTCTCTCTCTCTCTCTCTCTCTCTCTCTCTCTCCTCTCTCACTCTCTCTTTAAAATAAATAAATAAATAAAATGTTTTATTAAGTTTCTCTATGAGTACATTTGTTAAAGAATGTATCTTTTCAGGGAGAGTTAATATATATTGAATATCAAGCTTAAATATTTCCTCTAACACCATATTAAACAAGTACCAGGAGAAACTGTGACAAATCATTTCTTCTTAATTATATTTTCCTAGTACTTAATTCTATTTCTTACCTAATAAGTCAGAAATCACTCCTCCCCAAATTATAATTATAATTATATATAACTTAGTTTTATATTGTCTAATTGTGAATGAGAAGATGGTGCTTATCTTGAAAACTATTTTCTCTCTTACATAAAGGCTTAAATTTTCTACATATACTGTCACATGTCACTTCTATTTTGATAATATGGTTAAAAATGGATTTTGTTTGTTTTTTGCAAATTTCCATCTTTTTTTTTTTTTACCTGCTATCAGCTTCTCTGTATCAGGTAGATGTGTGAACTGTCTTTTGTATTCCTCATTCTTATCTTTGTATGTTGAACTTGAAATCTGCAACAATAGAAAAATTTTAATTTCTGCTTAATTATAATTGTAATATCTTAGAACATTAATAAAATTTAAAATCACATGTTTTTCTATGCAATATTTTATATGTCCTCATATGAAAAACATAAATATCTCAAAAACACGAAGGAGGGAAAAAAGAACAAAAGAAACGACTTCCAACATAATAAAGAATTTGGCAATTCTATCTCTTCAAAAGTGAATATATAGCTGGAAAAAAAATATTAACAATCATCTCAAGTGGCTGGAAATTGATAAAAGATACACAATAAATTGTCAAATATTTGTTTATGAAATCTGAACTTGGGTCAGTAGACCAGAAGTCTGTGGCCCTCTTTCCTGGGCCTGTTCTCATAACCCTTTCTCCTCTACCAGTTAAGTCAGTGGGATAGTTCTACCTAGGTAGAACAAGCCACAAAAACTGGCAGCTATGTTGACCGAGGTAGTTGAGCTCACTGGGAGTGGAAAGCAGGAATTTTATGCCCGGAAGTAAAAGGGGAAACCCTAAATCTATTCAAGCAAGTATGAAAGTTTGGTTCCCATTGCTGTAAGCCAAATGACAGATGAGCAAGGGACTTAACAGAGAAATCTTGAAGGAAAGGCAGCCACAGATGGGCTTGATATACTCTCCACATATTCCTGGCCAAACAGAGGCTTACATGTATATGTAGAAGAGACTAGAAACAGCTATCCTTATATTCCTGGCCAGGGACACAAGAGATCTCAATAGAACATAAAAACTGGGACAAACTCAAAAACAGCCTAAATTTTGAATATATTCCCCAATCTATACATACTGCTGTCAGTAGAAGGGAAAAACCATACTGGCTCTATGCATTTGAACACATCATTAAGCAA